AACCTGCCCTGGGTGCGGGAAGGACTTCATAACGCGATCGCGCATACTCAAGCACCTGAGAAGGTGCCCCAGGTGCCTGGCTGTACTCCAAGCAATTGAAGCCCCAATGTATTTGCAGGAGGCAGTCGAACGCCGAGAAGAGGAACGAGAGGCTGTGGCGACGAGGAAGGCAATGGGTCATGGAGCTACAAAGGCGCTGGTGCCCGCCCAACAGGTCATACACATCAAGCTTGCCGACCACATCGAACAGCATCAGCTCCAGCTCTCGCCGGCGCCGCCTGCAGCAGCGGCCCCTCAACCATCGACGCCGCCTGCAAGTGCATTCGCCCCGTGCAGGCCCATGGTTACTACGGCTATGTTCTTACTGCACCTTTTCTCAGGCAGACGCCGAACCGAGGATTTCCAGCACCACTTCGAGATGAACATTCGGGAATGCAATTTGGTAGTACTATCGATCGACGTGCAGATAGACCCCGACAAAGGAGACCTGGCGAAGCCAGACGTCGTCGAGTTTTGGTGCGCGGCGATACGACAGGGCAAAATATTTGGCATTGTTGCTGGCCCCCCCTGCGAGACGTGGTGCTCATCGCGCTGGCATGCCGCCGAGGGAAAAGCTCCACGGCCATTACGTACACACGACTTCCCCTGGGGCATACAAGCAGCCAATCAAGCGGAGCGTCAACAGATAGCACTAGCCAACGAGCTATATAGGATAGCCTTACTACTCATCACCACTGGCTTGCAGTACAATGTATCCGCCGTGCTCGAGCATCCCGCTCCAGCCACTTGGTGTCCTCAAGCGCCGAGCAGCTGGCAGGGAGCGGAGACGCTCTGGCTTTTGGAGCAGACGAGCGTCGAACTGCACTACATAGACCAGTGCCAGTTTGGGCAGGCCGCGCGAAAGCCAACATGCCTGATGGCGGTACACCTCAGTGAACTTACACAGGAGCTGGGGGCGGTACCTGGGGGACAGCTCTGTCGACATAACGGACATGACAGAGCTTACGGGCGAGACGGCCAAGGCGGCTGGAGGACCGCACCCCTCAAAGAATATCCTGCAATGCTGTGCAAGGCAATGGCAACTGCATTCGCAGCCCACTGGGGACAGCTCGCTGACGAAGAGGCAATGTGGGCCGAAACGGATGAATGCTATCACAGGTTCTACGCCCCCCTGGACTACTACATCGAGCCAGAGCAGCTGGGCCACGACTGTCACAGGACATGGGGTATCCAACGGCGCTAGCAGCGGACACTGCATTTGCGGCACTACGTTTGCCTGCACAGATATTCGGGATTAATTGTTTCAGGATCATTCATACTTGCCAGTCCATGGAAGGGACCATCAGATTGCAGCTTGGTGCGCAGACTACTGGCATCTTACAGATTGGAGGGCAGTTTGTATTACAGAATGGCGTACAGTTGGGTAATATTTCAGAGTGGCAGCAGGCGCGATAGCATCAGTGCACCTACTGTATGTACTCAAGACCCGCGTTACTATTGGGTTATTGGCACGGCTTCGTCCTGGACAGCGATTGCGTGCCATGCTCGAGGGGGGGGGCCCGTAGCGCCCATACGGGTGGGCACGATCCCTCAATGGCGACGGAGCGTGCCCCCCCCTCGAGTGCTTTCTGGATTTTATTGGCTTTCTCTCAACCCTGGCATTCACTGCTATGATTATCCAGCGTCCTGGACAAGAGCAGCATGGACACGGCAGTACATTCGCGGCAAAGAGCTTCCTGGGAGACAGGCACTACGGCGTCATGGGTAAAGTCCTGAGGAAGCCCCGAATGCGTGGGAAGACCTCAGGCATCGTCGCCAAGTTTTGCCTTGGTTAGGACGCAAGTCCTGGGGGAGCCCCGAATGCGAGGGAACACCCCAGGCACAAGTAGCTACGTTTTGCTGTGAGTATCCTGGCGGCGACTGGCTACCTACAACTCGGAGGACACCAGCTGGCTGGCAGCGGGCGGTCCACACGTCGCCGTCGTACTACTGACCGACATCGACAGCATACCCAGCACGGCCCCGCGCACCTCTTGTCAAGTCAACGCTGCCCTGGTGAGGCATTGATCAAACTTCGAGACGGGCTCGAAGGGCGGGGGGGAAGGACGAGTACTTCCCGCGCCCACCAGGGGGGATGGTGAGGGGCAGGGGGGGGTAGGACGGCCACTACCTGCGCCCCCGCGGTCCGCCCTAGCTCGCCACCCCCACCATTCCCATGGAGAAGGAGGGGCTACCCGAGCGCCCGAGGGCGAAGCACAGGACAGCCGAGACATCCCACTCCGACGATAATAAGTACCAGGCCTGGGGTTCGCCCCCACCGAGGGCACTGTGACCCCTAGCCATAGCGGGACGAGGTGGGACAGCCAAGACCCCCACTTGAAGTCGGTGCATGGAGGCCTTGGAAGCCCACAACCAACGCAACACCAGCAACGATCCGACTCCCCAACGACCCTACCAGCACGCTCCACATCCTACACTCAGTCCTACAAACGGCCGCCGTCCACAACCCCCAAGATCAGCGCCCTCCTGTACTGTAGAGGCGGGGGCGGCATGAATGAGGACATCGGATACTACGGCTAGTCGAGTACCAGGACGACCAGCACGACTGGACAGGATCACGCAGGAGTACCAACCCGCCCAGCACGACTGGGACGAGTGATACAAGTTCGAGCACCACAGTGGCAAGCAGCACTGCAGGCTCGAGCACATCATGGACTACTCGAAGAGAAGGGGCGGCGCGCCCCTCGGCGAGGGATACACAGCGCCAGGCGCCGAAGGGTGTATCCCCGTCGCCCTCGCGTGGCATGCGAGGGGCCGAGGCCGGCCGGCCCTGATCGGCATGATGACGAGAGCAGCCGCTGCAGACTTGCTGGAGCCCACGAGCGGCTCGGCGAGCCTCCACAGCGCGCTGCGCCGAAGGGTGGGGGCCGCCGCAGCTGGGGGCGGCCAGCCACCCGAAGACCCCACGGCGGCTGGGCTCAGCGCGAGGCGCCGAAGGGAGCCCAGCCGCCACCACGCGGCCGCCAGCCCACTAAGAGGCCGTCGGCCTGGCCGTTCGCCGTGCCGCGCTGCCTGACGCCCGCGGGCGCGGGCGCGCGCGGCGCCCGCCCATGGGCCCTGACGGGCCCCCTTTTTTTTGCTGCAGCCCGGCCCCCTTCTCTCTCCTCTGAGGTTTAACTTGGTCCCTGGTTCCCCCTGCTTTCCTCGGGGTCGGGTTCCCGGGGCCGCTGTCCGAGTGCCCGCACGGCCCTGAAGGGCCGCTGCGGCGCGCTCCGCGCCCGCGGGGCGCGCGACAAGACGCTGCATAGCGAGAAATGTAGAAATGTAGGAGGAGCACAGAGCGGACCTGTCGAGAACAATCCTTCTAGTACTGCACGCCGCGCGTGGCCTTCCTCGCGAGCCCGCGCCTGCGCGTGCGGGCCCCGGCCCGCACGCGCCGGCCTTCCGGGGTCCGCCCCCCGACGGACACGGGAGCGGTGTGCTCCGTTCCGCTCCCCTCCCTTCTCCTCGTCGTCCCTTCTCCCTTCTCCTCGTCGTCCCTTCTCCTCGTCGTCCCTTCTCACTCGTCGTCTCCGCTCCGCTCCCCTCCCTTCTCCTCGTCGTCCCTGCTCGCTCGCCTCCTTCGAGGGGAACGAGCAATGAAACAAGCACAACAACTCGGAGGTCCGCGCGGATTTCTCGGATCCGCGCTGGACCCCCTTGGCGGCGCGTTAGGGGCGCCGCCCCTGGCGCGATCCGCGCTTTTCCAGCGCGGTCCGAAACATCCGCGCGGACCTCCGAGTTTCTCTGCTTATGCCATTTTTCGTTCCCCTACTCCGAGTTTCTTACTGCGCGCCGGGGGGCGTCACCCCCGTCGACGGCCCCACGTCGACCCCCGTCGTGGGCAGCCGCCGCGCGCCACAGGCGCTCCGACCCCCGCCGCGGCGCGACGACGAGGCGAGGTTGACCCCGGTCGGAGGGATACCTCCCCGCGCTCATCAAGAAACCCGGAGTGGCGGCCGTCGGTCGTGGCGCCGCTGCTGCTCGCCCGCCGGACCGCCGTGGCGCCTGGCACGTGCTGTAGCCGCCTGCGCTCCGAGGGCGCCGGCAGCCCGGAGCGCCAGCGCCCGCGGCCCCAGCGCGGACCTCTGCGTTGGAGCGAACGCCGCCAGTGTCCCCGACTCGCTCGTCGTCGAAGGATCCGCGCATTCGAGAGGCCGTCTTGGTTGAACATTCCACGCGACGTCGGAAACGAACGCCGACGTCATCGCGACGTGAACCCGCCGAGCCTATCCAGGTGGCTACGTGACATCCGCCACCAACGAAGCACACTGTGTGGTGACCCCTCGAGCACCAGCCCGAAGGCCGTCACACGTGACATCTCCCGTTCGTACTTTCGAAGGGGCCCGGACGGGGCAGGGCTGGACCTGCACGGTGCTCTTTCGCGACTTCGCGGGCCGCTTTCGTCCCGAGCTCGTTTCTGCGTGCAAGGCGAATCGAAGACGCCCCGAGGGAACAAAACGACAACACCACGAAGACGAGAAACACCGCTCGGCGTCAGCCCCGACATGGGGTCTGCTCCGGGCTCCCCTCGGGGCCGCCCTGGGCCCCCGCCGGGCAGCGCGGGAGGCCCCGCGGGGCCCTCTTCTTGTGGCCGCCGCGGGGCCCTCCCGGAGCCGTCCCGGCCGCCGGAGGGCTCTCCTGGGGCCGTCGAGCGGCCTCCCTGCCGCCTCCCCTCTCTCAATCACCGTCGGTCCTTGTTCCTTCTCCTTCGTCCCTCTCCCCCTTCCCCTCTCTCCGCCCCCTCCTCCCCTTCCCCCTCCTCCTCCCTTCCCTCTCTCCGCCCTCTCCCTTCCCTCCTTCTCCTCTCTCCGCCCTCTCCCTTCCCTCCTTCCCCTCTCTCCGCCCTCTCCCTTCCCTCTCCCTCCCTCCTTCCTCTCTCTCCGCCCTCTCCCTTCCCTCCTTCTCCTTCGTCCCTCTCTCCGCCCTCCTCCTCCCCTCCCCCCGACTCGGCCGCGGAGGCACCCACGAGCGACCAAGCGGCGCTCGGGTGGGGGCCGATCGTGCCAGTGCCGCAGTGGCCGCCGCCCATGGCGCCGTCCCCGACGGCGGCCGGGCCGTCGGCGCCTCCGAAGGCGACCCAGGGGGAAAAGGAGGTGTGGGGACGCTGGCACGCGGTGTCTGGGGCTTCCCTTCCTGTCGTTGCAGCTTGTGGGGCCAATGGTCGACGGTACTGCAGTCCCTGCTGCCAGCGTTTGCCCTGTGGGCCGCCAGCGTCTCCAGCGCTTGCCTCCTGGGGCAGGTCGTGTTGCACAGGTCGCCCAGGTCATACGTTCCCCAAGCAGTGCTGCTGGCACTTGGGGGTTCCCGCCTGCGTTCCGAGGCAGATGGATGGGTGCGTCGCCCTGTCGCCTCTTGCCCAGGCGATGGCCGCCCGCGGGCCCCTCTCGTTG